GTGGCGGGAGGTCAGTAAAGAGCGAGTGGTCCATAGATGTAGGAGGGACAATGCTGCTAATGGGGAAAATGGAGATTGAGATGGAGCTAAGTGCAGACAGGAACAAGGGGGTTGAGAACAAAGGGCCTGAAGGCCACTGAGAGGAGGAGTTGTAAGGGGAAGATGAGAGGAGGACACATAGGAGACGGCAGTAGGGAGGAATGGCACCAGGGCCCAATGAGCCAGTGGAAGGCCTAGAAGGACGGTCTAGGCTGGGCCTTACCTTGCACGATGAGATGCACCCGCGATGTCTTGGGGTGGTTGTCCGTCTGCACGGAGCAGGTGTAGGGGCCCTCGTCAAAGACATCCACGTCTTGTATCTGGATGCTGTACTGAGTCTTGGTGTTGGCCAGCAGCAGCACCCGGGAATCCAGGCACCACTTGTCATTGCCAGCATACAGGATGCTGCTGCGATTCAGCCAAGCCACGCGGGTGACTCTGTTATCCACCACACACCTGGGGAGACAGGGAGAGGCAATTCATCAGCCCATGCCCACCAGCAGCTCAGCTCTGCTCCCTCCCCTCACCCCCATTTTTTCTGACTATTTTTAGCTTTGTTGCGAGCAGCAGCTATGGAGCCCCTGCGATGTGAGTCTCTCTGGAGATCGTCAGCACTTTGCCTGCTGCGCTCTCTCCATCTGAAACTCTGCCTGAGCCTCAGATCAGTCCCGCAGAAACTCTCCGTCCCCTCCGAGTCGCAGGGCCCAGGCCTTCTGCCAGATGCCTGCTTACCATTCCCAGCACCTCTCTGAACCCCTCCGCTCACCCTGGATCTGCCACTCACTGCTTGCCTGCAATCCAGCTCAAGACTGCTGGGGACAGCCTGAAACCACTGCCCAAACCTCAGCATAAACCCATCTTTTGGGAAAGTTCAAATCTCATTTTTGGCTTCCCCAGCGCCAAGTCGTTCTGGTTTATCCCCATCGACTCCCCACGTTCCCGCATGGAGAAGGGCAGAGGGCAGCATGGAGAGCAGTTCTCACGCTGCTTTTGGAGACAGGGAAGAAGTGCGAGACGGTCTGGTCTCCCCAGCTAACCCACCCAATGGCCTGAGAAACACTTCAACCCACCTCCAGTGAGACTCTCCAGCCCTGCCCTGTGAGCACCTCTCCCTCTCCCTCAGCCCAACACCATTATCCAGGCTGTGTCATTTCCTGCTCCACCTCACTTCCACACTAATATTAGTACATTTATTCAATGCTTTAATGCACACAGGCTGGAAGATGCCTAAGGAATTTTCCAAGGGGAGTATTATGAGGGGAGAAAATGGAGACCTGCATTTACGAGTGGGGTTATACAAAGTTGTGGCCCGTGATAGCAGGGCCCTGGCCCTAGTGACCCTGGAAGTCCCTTCTATTCCAGCCTCAGGTTCCTGACCACAAAGCCCAAGTCCTCTTTTTCACATGGATGCCCGAGTTGATGCCCGAAGGGACCAGGAGTGTTAATAAGGACACCTCTGACCCCCAGCTGTTCACTTGAGAGTCCAAAATGCAAGCCACCAAGCTAAACCTCTGCTTCTTACAGTGCACATCCAATATCGCACCCCCAGAGCAGCTCAGCAAAGCCGCACGAGATGCCAGGAAGGGAGGATAATGTCCAAACATAAAGCTGTTCAGCCTAATATCCATTGTTTATATTCTCTCCCCAGTTGTGATGCAAATGAACTGCTGAGCCGCCCAGCGAGAGAGCACCAGCTTTGCAGTCACCTCGCTGAACGCGGTGGACTTTATGGGCCATATGTCAGACCACTGTGGCACTGGTGTTACAGCAATGACGGGTTTGTCTCCCACATGTGGTCTGTCAATGAGGCCTCACCACCCTCTCTGTCCTTCAAGGGCTGTGCCCTTCCTCGGTATCAGCATATTGTGGGCATTGCCACTATTTGAGCAATAATAAACAAAAATGACTTGGAAGCCAGCTCAAATCACGAATAAAAACCACACTTCTACCTACAGCCACTCCTGTTCCATCTGTCTTCTCTCTCTTTTTTTTTGTTTTTCTTTCTACCTCCGTTGCGCTCCTTCATCCGTCACAGAGCCCACTCCCAGACTACATAAGGAATGAATTAATTCCGTTGTAAGGCAGCATGTGAATGAAGCCACTTCAAAAAGGTGAAGGAAGCTCATCGCCACTCTAAATGGCACCAGCTTTCTAGTGTATTTGGAGAGAGCAAAACATGATTGATAGTGAAGAAAACAAAAGATCCCAAATGGCTTCAATGAGCAAACTGCAATTTTCAGCCAGTGTTGCTCAGGCCGTTGTCTCTCCAGGGGGCCTGGACCTGAGATGCAGGACTCCTGGGCTCCATTTCTGACTCTGCCACTGGCTGTGATGCTGGGCACAGCGCTGCCCTGTGCATTGGTTTCCTCCTCCATAAATACATTATTATCTCCACTATAAATG